GTAAATGTTCGAATGGTCTATCAGGTGGCAGAAATGTTCAAGATGAGTTGTGGAGTATAGAGTTTTTAACAATGGAAGCTTTAAGGACTTAGGAAGGAGGACTAGGCACTGTCTGGGCCCTTTGTGAGTCCATGCTTATCTTTGAATTTACATCCTTTTAAATGCCAATTTTGTTTTCCCAAATCAGGTGCTTTGCACTGTTTATTAAATAGGTCATCCTGAGGGAGCTGACCTGGATCAGTTTTATGGAGTTCATTCAAATTGCATATCCTAACATTGTCAGCACTCGATGATTTAGCATAAAAGTCTGCCAGGGCATTCCCTTGATATTCAGGTTCAGCTTTATAGGTTTGAACTTTAATCTTTTTTAAAAAAAAAAAAAAGATTTTTTTTATTTAGCTTTATTTATTCATTTTAATTTGACCAGAGATGGACAGAGAAAGAGAGAGAGGGGGGGAAAGTGAGAAGGCAAGTCTCCAGGTCCGGGATTCAAACCATGGTCGGCCATGTGGGAGACCAGCGCCCTTAACCACCACACCACCTGCTGGCCCCAAACTTTGATCTTAATAATGGCAGTCTGTGATGGCAATAGGATGGTAGAGAGCAGCTCGTTTACTTGGGGTTCATTTTTTATGAGGAGTCCCACTAGAAGTCTGAAATCCTCATTGATTCCATAACATACCAAAATCATGGACTACTTAAAAGGCATATTTGCTATCTATCAACATCAACTTTCCTATAAGGGAAAGCCTCTATCTAACAGAAAACATGCAAATGACTACAGGAACTTACTGATACTCCATTGAGGGTGTATATATATTCATTGACTTGTCTTTAGCTATTTAATAAGCTTGAGTAAGAGCAAAAAGCTCTGCAGGTTGAGGTGACTTAAACTGGGGAAGAGTCCTCCTTTCCACTAGTTCATGTTGTGTGGTAATATGTAATCTGCTTGATACTGACAGTAGTTACCTTATAAGATTGCCACGAGTATTAAATGAGTTAGTATATAGTAAATACTTAAAGAATTCCTGGCATATAGTAAGCACTGTGGTAGTTGGTATTACTGTTACTTTAATTTTTTTTCTTAGTAAATAAAGAAGGGAAAAAATAACTTCTGTTACTTCCTTTCGTTCTCTTCCATCTTGCCTTCTCTTTAATTTAAAATTTAGGGTTTTTTGTTTGTTTATTTTTTGGTATTTGATGGGCATTTTTTGCTGTTTTTTATTATTATTATTATTCATTCATTTATTTTTTAATTTGACCAGAGAGAGACAGAGGGTGAGAGTGAGAGAGAAAGGAAGTGAGAAAAGCAAGTCACCAGATTCAGGACTCGAACCCTGATCAGCCATGTGGGAGAGTCCAGCGCCTTAACCACTATGCCACCTGCTGGTCCCAGCTGTTTGTTGTTTTTTGAGGGGAGGTTTTGTTTGTTTAAATTTTTTTTTGATACATAGTCTCATCAGGTAACTATCCTCTTGCTTCATGCTCTTAAGTGGTACCACAGGCCCATGTCACCTTACGCTGCTTTTCACACTGGGCCAGGAATTGAACCCAGTCTTTCACATGATCTCAACATGCTAAGCAGCAGCATACTGCCTGAATTACCATGACTAAACCTAAATTTTAGTTTTGGAGTCTTTTTAATTTTCTTCTTACTCTTTTTTCTTTTTTTGGAAAGGTTTTTAGCTATAGGGCGTGTGCGCTCACCAGAAATACAGAGAGAGACAGAGAGACAGAAAGTGAGAAATCACCCCCAGGGTGGATGGCCACGCCACAATCCCTTCTCCTCCATTTTCCTCTTGGGATCTTGAGCACGCAAGCACACACGCCCAGCGTGAGTTTAAGCCACCGGGTCTGGGAGTCAAACCACGGTCAACTACATGGGAGTCCAGCAACATAGCCATTACGCTAACTGCTGGTCTCATTTATTTTCTTCTTACTCATAATAGAGTGCATGAGTATACGTGTCTATATGTGTGAGAGAGAGACAAAGACAGACAGACAGAAAGATACAGAATCCAGCCATACTGCAGTCACCTTCCTCCAGTCTTCCAGCCCATGGGTCTTGGGTACAATCATGCATGCACACTGTGTCTCAGGCTGACCAGAGCAAGTTTTAGAGAAAACTGCCATGTGAGAGCCAACTTCTCTCTGAATAGTACATTAGCACTGCAGCCCCTAAATTTTAGTTTCTATTGTTTTCACTCACTCACTACCATTCTTTTTCGAGGTGTTAGCTGATCTTGATATCCTAGGTTGACTGGTGTAATAAGAGAGGAAAGTTGTTTATACCGTATATCTAGACTTTCATTAAGTTGTTTGACCTATTGCTTCTACAAAAATAAGTTAAATTTTTGAGGAGTTTAAATGTAGAAGGGGTATGTGTCTTGGGGCCAAGTCAGTGGGGAAATTGGAACTGGAGCTTGGGAACTGACTTAGTAGGGTCACCTTTCTTCAGCCTTTCCTCCCTTCATCTTTTCCTTCTTTCCTTTCTTCCTTATTCCCTTTTCATCTTCATTCTTCTTATCTTCTTTCCTTAGATCTCCCCAGGGCATAGGTAGGGGAACTGGACCAGAAAAGGAAAAATAATAGGTAATTATAGTGAATTATTTGATGATGAAGCAGCACTGTAAGAGGACAAAAGTAGAAAGCCACAGATATCATAAAGTCCTACTTCACAAATTACACACTGTCAGGATCTGGACCTGGACAGTGGCATTAGAGTTGTAAAATGCGATGCTCCTTAGGGCTGACTCACATGGGAGAGTTCTGGCTTTCCATCTGGATACCTCTTTGAGTATACCAGATGTGTGCTCTGCCAATGATCGAGGTTATTGATCTCAGAATTATGAACCCTGTTGGGGGAAGTGTCTTACTTGTTCTGTCTCTGTCTCTTTTGTTCACTGAAGAAGTAAACAAACTTAAAATTACCTCTGTCACATTGTATTGGCCAAAGGTCAGAGAGCAGAGAGACAGCACTCCTATTAGGATCTGGATTCTCTGATCTACCCCTAGCTACAGCCAGCCCTGCATTATGGGCACACATTTTCAAAGTGAACAACTCAGGAAGGCCTCCAACTGGGATCCTGGAACCTTCCCGTATGCACCAGCCTCCGTGAGCATCAAGTTTTACTGCTGTACTACCTGCCACCTGTAGCCATCATACCTCCCTAGTATTTTTTTTTTCTATTCTTACAAAAATGTCATAGTATTTCTCAAACTTGGAAATGACAGTTCTTAATAAATACAAAAATGCCTAAATTCTAGATAATTCAGGAAGCTAAAGAAATAGAACAAAGAAGTCAACACAGTTTATGATGTTTCAGAGATATAAATAGCAACATTACAGTCATTATTTTAACTTTTCTTTGATCAGGAATTGATTCAGGAATTTCTGAAACCAGGCAAAAATAAGTAAGAAAAGAGGATGAAGGTTAGAAACTCCTTTCCTTTCCTTTTTTCTTTCTTTCATTCAATGATGTCTAGTACATACTGGAGTTGTTATTGTAATCTTTCTCATTTTCATTTGAAAACATGATCACTATTCATAATATTAAAATTAAACAGTATCTTGACATAAAACCTAACAATCCTCAAAGTGAAAGACTGTTGATGCTCACAATTACAGTACACTTAAGTTGTACACTTTAGTCACATTGCTTGGAGCAGTGCAGTAATGGATGAACCTTTATTGTGAAATGCAATAGACGGCAGGGGCCAGCATATGGCGTGGTGGTTAAGGGACTGGACTTTTCCACATAGTCGACTGTGGTTTGAGTCCCAGGTCTGGTGACTTTAGAATCATGGCAGATGTGTGTCTGTGCATGCCTAAAATCCCAGGAGGAGAATGAAGAAGGGATCCTAGCGGGACCATCCCTCCTGGTGGGAGGTGACTTCTCACTGTTTCTCTCCTGAGAGTGCATATGCTCTATGGCAAAAACCTTAAAAACAAACCAAATAAAAAAAAAAAAATGACAGCAGTTACAGAAAGGGATGCTCTAGCCATTTCCCACGAAAAACAGTGTTGCTTTGAGCCCCTATATTTTTTAAGCCCTTTAAGGTTTGGGGCTTCTCAAAATGTACATTCATTACCAAAGATTAGGACTTCCCATTTTCAGAGGATATGAGGTTTCAGTCCTAAAACTGGGATGACTCTAGGCAAATTGGGACGTTTGAACACTGCCTCGTCTCAAGTTAACAACTACCTTGAAGCCACCTGAAACTATAAGCTGGGGTAGTATGACAATAGACCTCCTATTCCTATCTTGATTTAGAGGAGTTTCTTTTCTTTTCCTTTTTTTTTTTTTTAAAATTTTGGAAGGGTGAGGAGTGGGGAGGCTTGCTATTTCTAATATATTTCATGTTTGTATTTGGAGATTCTGAAGATGGGTTTTCTCCCCTTTTCGAATTAACTGCATTACTATCTTTTTTTTGAAAGGTTTTTGCTATAGGGTGCGTGCCCTCACCAGAAAGACAGAGAGATAGAAAGCGAAAAATCACCACCCAGTGGGGATGGCCATGCCACAGTCCCTTTTCCTCCATTCTCCTCTCAGGATCTTGGGCACGCACTCAGACGCACTCGGTGTGAGTTTAAGTCACCGGGTCCGGGACTTGAACCCTAGTCGACTACATGGGAGTCCAACAACATAGCCATTACACCAAATGCTGGTCCCCTGAATTACAATCTTTTAATAGAACAGACGGAAAAAAACATACAAATAGTGCTGGTGTCCAGTGCATAGTAAATTCCCTTTTTCTTTCTTTTCTTTTAATAACAAAAAAGAGCTAGACATTTTCTTAGAATTGCTTCTAAACTATGTAGTGACCTTGTTGTCTTCTGTATATTAAAAAAAATCTGCAATATCTGCCTTTACAACCTCCTAAATATGAATCGGCCATTAAATCCTAAAGACAAGGCAAAAGTACTAGTTCTTCGCTCCCAACCCCCATGGCCTCTGCTGACTCTGCTTCCATGGAAACCAGTAACTTCTTTTCTCCAGAACTCCCATGGCCACAGTTTGAATGAAGAGGGACTCTACATGTTTGCCATTCAGTCTTCTTCCTTCAGATCAGGTTGGTCTTTATTCTCTAATCACAGGAAATATTACTGAAAAATGATTTAGTTTTGTCATATTTATAATTAAATCTGAGGATCTTTGTTACCATTTCCTTCACAAATTTGGATATCAGTTCCTTGATCTCCTTTGTGTTCACATTTGCAGGCTTCACTTGTTTCTCAAATCTGTCTTTTAAGTTTATTATGAAGCTGCCATTTTCTTCTTGTTGAATTGTACATTTGCACTTTCACAGTTAAAGTCTTTTTCAAACTTCACTAGTCTGTCTCACTAAATACTGAATTCCTCTGCCACATGGATGGTTCTCTCACCTCAAATCAGAAGGAACATTTGGAACTACTCATCTCATACAGTCATGACTGAGTTGTTCATTTTCTGACTTTGAAACTTTGTGTGCTTCAGCTTGAGATAACTATATATTTTTTTGAAAGTTTTATTTTTGTTGTTATAGGGCGCATGTGCTTGCCAGAGAGACAGAGAGACAGAAAGCGAGAAATCACCCCCCAGGGGGGATGGTCACGCCACAATCCCTTCTCCTCCATTCTCCGCTTGCTGCCTTGGGCATACCCACACACACACACGCCCGGCGTGAGTTTAAGCCACCGGGTCCGGGAATCGAACCGCGGTCAACTACGTGGGAGTTCAACCACATAGCCATTTCGCCAACTGCTGGTCCCAGGTTAACTATTTTTAGAGACTGTCTATTTGAAACAACTGTATTTCCTTGGAATAAGATACTACTTCCTTGGTGTTTCTGTTCCATAGAAGAGCAATGATTTTTTTTTTTTTTGGCAACACTAACAGCACCAGTCTGCAGACTTACTGTATCCTGTCATCCTGCCAAAAGGTTCATAGAAGCTTACTTGGTGTCTTTCAGGTTGCTGGGACTGGGACTTGAACTATAGTCAGCATCTGGAATCCAAATCCCTTAGCCACTGGGCTATAGGATCAGCTCTCTCTCTTTGTATTTTCTGTTACTGTTTTATATTTCTAAGTTGCAGAGCTGACATTTCTCTTAGTGGTCCTTTTTAAAAGTCTTTTATCGTATTTGTTATTATGGGTGCTTATCAGTGAAAGCTTTAAAAATTATTAGGAGGCTGGCACCAGCAGATGGCATAATGGCTACGTTGCTGGACTCCCATGTAGTTGACACAGTTCAAGTCCTGGACCCGGTGGCTTAAACTCACTACAGGAGCATGTGCATGCGTGCCCGAGATCCTGAGAGGAGAATGGAGAAGGGATTGTGGTGTGGCCATCCCCCGGGGGGTGATTTCTTGCTTTCTGTCTCTCTGCCTCTCTCTCTCTCTCTTTCTGACGAGCACATGCTCCCTATAGCAGAATCCTCTCCAAAAAATAAAAAAAAGAATTATTAGGAGGCCTAGCTCAGTGGCACAGTATTGGCATCCTGCTGAGGCGATGCTGGATCCATGTGAAAGATTGCAGATTCAGTTTCTTGGTTGATCTGTACACACCGGGTGTGCACACCCATAACCCCCGCTGATAAGGCTCCTGGGCATCCTGTTGAGGTTGCTTGTTTCTCTTTGTGTCTCAATCTTATGAAAGAAATAACTTTGAAATTATTAGGATATATTTCATATCTATATGAAATACAAAGAATAATTTAGTAGACAATCATAGCCCAAAGGAGTAAACATTACCGATGCTGTTTAAACTGGGATGAATCCTTTCAGTTTTGCATCTTCCTCCCCTTCAGATGTAAGCACTGTCCTTATTTGGTAGTTATCATTCCTATGCATTTCTTTATATTTTATTCCCATCTGTGTGTTGCTGAACCATATACATGTAATTTTATGTATGTGTGTGTATAATACGTGCTATTTTTTAAAGTTTTTTTTTTTTTTGCCATAGGCACATGCCCTCATCAGAGATAGAGACAGAGTGAGGGAAAGTGAGAAATTACCCCATGGGGGAATGGCCATGCTGGCCTGCAGTCCCTTCTCATCTTGGGATTTTGGGCATACATTCACCCAGTGTGATTTTCAAGCTGCTGGACCTGGGCTTTAACTACAGTCAGGCATGTGAGAGTCCAGTGCCTTAACCACTAGGCCAAATGCTGGCCCCTATAATATGTACTATTATGCATCATTATTTTGAGTGTTTTATAGATCATATATTACTGTATTTAGTTTTGTGCAACTTAATTTTTTTCCTTTGGCTATAGGGTGCATGTATTTGCTAGAGAAAGTAAGAGTGGGAAAGTAAAAAAGTACCTCCACCCCTTGGTGGGGAGGAATGGCAATGCTGCAATCCTTTCTTCATTCTCTTGGGATTTGGGGCATGCATGCACAACTCTTAGCATGTTTTTCAGGAAGCCAGGCCCAGCCCCAGCAGCTAGAAAAGCACACTGGGTTTGTACATGTGCCTACCTGAAATCCTGGAGAAAATGGAAGAGAAGGGATTGATTGCAGAATAACTATGCCCTATTGAGGGATGCCTTCTCCCTCTCCCACTCTCCCTTTTGTCTCTCTCTCTAGCAATCCCAGGTGCCTTATGGCAATGAAAAAAATGTAGCTTTAGTACTTTTATTATTATCATCATTATTTAGTGTTCCACAGTATAAATACTCCTGCTTGTGGAAATTTAGGTTGTATACAACTTTTTACTATTATATACTTTGCTATTGTGAACATATTAATATGTCTCATATCGCTACTGTTAACTTTTCTAAAAAGTTTGGTTCCTCATACTTACGTGTCCATTCTCTAGGACAAAGGTTTGCAACCCTATTTTTAAATAAAGTGCTAGATAATAAATATCTTACACTTTTACTTATGGGCACTGGCATTTAAATTTCATGTAATTTTCATACATCATGAAACATTTTTCTTCTGTTGATTTGTCCTTCTTCCCCCAATTATTAAAAATGTAAAAGCCAGGCCAGCAGGTGGCATGGAGGTTAGGGCGCTGGATCCCACATGGCCAGCTGTGCAGTTCGAGTCTGGACCTGACAGCTTGAAAATCACATTGGGCACATGATTTGTGCATGCCCAAGAAGTCCTAAGAGGAGAATGGAGTAGAAGGAGAGTAGTGTGGTCATTCCCCCCATGAAGGGGTTATTTCTCACCCTTGTTGTCTTTCTCTCTGACAAGTGCATGAGTCCTGTAGCAAAATTTTAAAAAAAAGAAAAGAAAGATGAATTTAAAGCCATTGTTAGCTCTTGAACCTTATTTGTAAACATGGAACATGCCAGAGTTTACTGGCCCTTAGTTGGTCAACACCTGAGCTAGTATAGCCCTTAGCAATGAAATAATCAGGTCCTAAAGCATATAGAATTTCATCCTCACTAGATTTTGCAAAATTTATCTCCAAAGTGGTTTCAGTGGTAGTTTTTCCATTTTCCTGTTTCCACACATCACTCACTTGATAACTGTGATGTTTTCATTTTTGCCAGTCTGTTGGAGTTATCAGATGATAGTTTGAATTTATAATATTCTGACTTACAGTGGGATTGAATTATCTTTGTTTTTGTATTTTAAAAAATTACTCTTTGCTCATCTAACATTCAAACTGTTGAGTGCTAGTCATGTTAGATTCTATTCTGTGTACTTGTTATTTATCAGTAAACTAAATAAAATACTTCATGAGCATATTTTCTTTTTCATGTATAGTTGTGTGCCACCTAACAGCATAACAGTATTTTGATCAATCTTGGACTGTGTAGGTGGTCTGTTAAGATTATGTTGATTATAGGCTGTACTCAAGCCTAGGTGTAGAGTAAGCTGTACTACACATCTGGGTTTGTACAATGTTCACACAATAACAAAATTGCCTAGCAATGTATTTCTTAGATCTTCATTGTTAAGCAACATTTGATTTCTGTGTTCCCTCTTGTTTGCTCTGCTTATATCTTTTTTTTTTTTAATGTTGGAATATCGACATCCTTTTTAGAGAGGTTTTTGCTATAGGGCACGTGCACTCTCCAGAAAGAGAGAGACAGAGAGACAGAAAGCAAGAAATCACACCCCCCCACGGGGGGGATGGCCATGTTAGACTCCGATCTTGGGCACACTCACGCACCTGGCGTGAGTTTAAGCCATTGGGTCTGGGACTTGAACCACAGTCGACTAGACTACATGGTAGTTCAGCAACATAGTCATTATGCCAACTGCAGGTCTGAAATATTGACATTCTTTATGTAGTCTAGATGGTACTCCTGGTTGATTTACATGAATAGAATACATTGCTTACCAGATTTATATATACTCTATTTTTTTTAAAGGGCACATGTGCTCACTTTAGAGAAAGAAGGAGGGATGAGAAATCTCCCCTCAGAAGGGATGTCTGTGCCACAGTCCCTTCTCCTCTATTGTTCTCTCAAAATACAAGACACACATGCTCATGTGCCCACCATATTTTCCAAGCTGCCAGGTCTGGGATTCATACAGTGCTCTTGGCCATGTGGTATCCAGCCACTTTAACTACCATGCCACCTGGCTGGCCCTGTTTATCTCATTTCTTAAGAGTGAAATTAGCCATTACGCTAACTGCTGGTCCCTGTTTTTTTTTGTTTGTTTGTTTGTTTGTTTTTTTAAGAGAGATTTTTGCTGTACAGCATGTGTGCTCACCAGACACAAAATGAGAAATCCCTCTCCCTCCACTCCCCCGGGTAGATGGCCATGCTGCAGTCCCCTCTCCTCCATTCTCCCCTTGGGCTCTTGGGCACGCATGCACACATGCCTGACATGAGTCTTAAGCTACCAGGTCTGGGACTTGAACCATGGTCAACTACATGGGAGTCCAGTGATTAACAGTTATACCATCTGCTAGTCCCTAGATATGTGTTCTTATAAATAGAATTATTTAATGCAGTCATTTTTAACAGCTTGTGGTTTTTGTGATTTAAGAAACCCTCTGGTCTTATTGGTCCTCTGTGTTAAAACTTTTTTATTTATTAATATTTGTTTATTTCTTCAGTCTTTATGTTAGAGTAGGGGAGTGCTAATCAACTATATACACTGGGGGAACAGAATTGGAAGA